CGATCAGAGTCACGGAACGGATTAAGTTCGTAAGTAGAGGTACCACTGTATGTCTTAAATGTTATATGCAAATTTAACACATAAGCCATTTCATTAGTCAAGTAGCAATAGAATCCATTCTTCCCGAATGTGATTTACTGTAATTAATTTTGGCTTAGCATGTTGTGCAATCCAGCTAATGTTGATAAATGCAATGAACCATAGTTAAATTAAACATGTCTTAGCAGGATGTCTGAACTAGATCAAATTCTGCATAGTATTAAGACAACTTAGGAAGCATATTGAAACATTCGCTTTTTAACATTTGGTGTCTTTCCTAATCTTAACTTTCTTCACTCTTTCCTAGCTTTTACCCTAACATAGCCAAGAAAGTTTATTATTCTTACCTAAAGTACATACTGCATACTAAACTACATCTTGTGATCATCTCTGAATATCTTTTATATTAAAATTCATTATTAATTTTTTCTGCATATAATCTTGCAAACTAAAAAAATACTGCTTAATTAAAGCATTTATAGCCACTTTCCATTCCAGAGAGTTCAGTTGCATTCTTTTCACCGCCTGAAGTTTTTTTTAAACAAAAGCTCAAAATATTACTTTAGCATAGAAGAGTTTAAATAATAAGCCAAAAACTATACTGACACTTTAAGTCAGTTTAGCAAAACTAAACTTACTTTAATTTCAAACACAACACATTTACACTGTCCCAATTACAATCCAGAATGGCAACTGTTAATTCACAGACTATAAAATGCCTTGTTTTAGACTTGGACATTGTCCCTACACTACTGCAATGGTTATTTATAGGTCAATTTAAACTAAACTAACCCAATCTAAAATCTGCCTTATTTACAGTCAACTAGCAAACAGGCCATTATGTTTGATGGGCAAGAAAAGAACTGAGAATTCCAGTTTTCTTTCCAATTCCTCACTCCATTTAATATTCTCACTCTCCTGAATCCAAGCAAGGATGAAAGCCATTGCTATGGATTGGGCAACAGAGAGGGTCAGACCTGATCTTCTATGCCCCTGATCCAAACAGATCAAAAGAGCAATAAGGATGGTTCCCTCCACACAATCCAGTGTCTATATGGAAGAAACTGATTATCAGTGAAGGCCTCTCCCTGATATAGCCTGCAGATATGGAAGCATCAAACACATTATACTCTCTACTGAAAGTCTGAACATTTTGCAGACCATATGCTGCTACTTTTGATGGTTTGGCAGATTCTTCCACTCTCCAACCTGGTCTCTACATCATAAAATATTTTAATTTTTCTCAACACTTATATAAAATGGCAGGTTTCTATTCTCAACCATATCTAAGATTGCAGCCTATTTATTTTGCTTTCTGAAACTCAACCACCGTTTATTTCCACAAATCGAGCAGCACTTTATATTCATAATGCTAAAGTGAAACCAGCTAAACAGTGTATTACAAATAAAGCATTAGAGAAAATGTGTGCTGTCAGATAAGGCCTTTATTATGCAATCACCATGCCTTCTTGGAATTTTTCAGGCAATCCAGGCAGTACTATCTTTCATTTCTAACCAGTCATACATTTTTCCATTAACTCTTTCATTTTTTTCCCTAAAGAAAATCCATTAAAGAGGTGTAGATAGAATAGCTCTGCAATAAGTTTTAAATCATAGTACTGTTCTAAAAGGTCTCTGCCTGGAAGCACTCAGGGAATGATGACAGTAATGCTGGGAAAATGAGAGACTTCGAAGTAGCTGATAAAGAAAATATCCATCACTATGACAAACAGAGTATGATGATGAAACAAAGGCCTATTTATTGCTAGGTTTCCTAGTGAGATGCTATGACATACATGACATTTTCATCATAGAAAGTACAGTATGCCGTCCATTTTTATCTTGCTTCCTTTATAGAGAAAATAAATCAAGGATGCATAGGCTGTATTTGCACGATATATTTACATATGATTAATTTAACCGTTATTTATTCAACTAACTTTCTGAGTCATGAACTGGTTGGATTTGCATTATGCACTAGATTTGTAGAAACCCAGCTACAGTGGTGAGAGCTAAATCTAGTACAGACTTTACAACAAGGAGCAAATTTTGCTTTTTCTCAGCAATGGGAATTCATTAGCACTATAATTATATTTACACTCTTCTGTAAAAGCTTAGCCTCTTTTCTGGATTACTGCAGGACTCAGGATTTAGCATACCTGCCCAGTGCAATGGCAACACCTCAGTAAGGTCAAAAACATAAGCATTCTTGGGCCTCATTAATACTTGAATGGGAGAACATCAACAAATCCCAGGGTTGTAAACTAGAAAGAAATAACACCCTGGAAAAAAGCAAAGGCAGGCCACCTCCACACTTTTACCAAGAAAACTACATAGACACAACAGACACATCCATGAAGTCACCCATCCTCAAAAGGTTTGGAACTATACAACAGACTTCAGTACAGGCTACTAAAGTCAAAAGACCTAATTCAGATATAACTACTCATATAAGGCAGGAAGCACTTATTTGTAGTCAGCAACAGGACATATAGAAAAAAGATGATTTAGTAAGGTATATTTCTGAAATGACATTTTTTAGAATCCAAAAGCACCCAAGAAAAATCAAGGTGGAAAAAAGCTCACGTGTTAACCAACATGACAAATTCTGTGCGTAGATCTTACTCCAATGCAAGAAACTGACATAAGACTTTACTTGTCATTTATATGTCATACAAGTGGCTTCAGCTGTCTTAAGATCTAAGAAGAGATAAAAGGCAAATAATGAGGAGGCAGGATGAAGAAACTGCATTGGTAAAGAAGAGAGATGAGAAAGTCTTTATTCTAAATATATACTGTACAGAAGTGTAATGGAAATCAATTACTCCATCAGCATTTTTTAACATTCGTAACAGTGCTGCATTCAAAGCAGGATGGTGAATAGGTCCTAAGGCAAAAGCTGTTGGAAAATATGTCAGTAGCTGTAAAACCAGAAAATAAGGGCTGCAAAGTACATTCCAGCCACCAAAAGGCTGTACTGCAATATTAAGCATACTCACTGTGTTTACAAGGAAACCCTACTGACAACAGAACTTGGGATGCACAGACTGCAGAAGAACACAGACAGAATGGGATGCTCAGGCATAGATAGTTTTCTTGGCAAAAATTCATCAGTGGTTTGCCCCTGCCTTCTTCCAGGATTTTTAAAAAAAATCTCTCCACATGCAGTTCTGAGATTTTCTGGTGGTCATCCATCCAAATATGGATTATGTTCAACCCTGCTGAGGCTTTTTCACCACAAGTCAAACTTCAGGGAATACACACACACACACATCCATCCACACGTCCGTCCATCCATCCATCCATCCATCAACACATTATTTATACACATACACACACACATCAACACGTAAGTATAAATTGTGTTCAACCCTGCTTAGCTTTTTCTCCCGGAGTCAAACTTCAGGAAATATATATACATACATCGGGAGAGAGACAGACAGACACGCGTGCACAAATATACACCATCAACACTAACCATATGCAGCTAGTGCCAAGTGGAGCCCGCCACGGAGCCCAACTTACCTGCAGACTGTAATGAGGTTCCGCCTCTCGACGGCTGCGTTGCGGGCATAAATGCTCTTCCTCCGAGAAGCGGCATTGAGCCCCCCGAAGTTGAACGACGCCATCTCTCCGCCGAGGGCAAAAAAGATGCCCGAGGGAGATTGGCAGCGCCTTTGTTCCAGCGGAGAGGGCGGGGAGTGGGGTTACTTGGCCGCCGCCGCTTCTTTCCACCCCTAGCTGCCGCTTCGCGAGGAGATGGGTAACTTCCCCCTCGGCCCCTAAACAGGAGCAAGGCAGCCCACCGCGGCGATGCCTCAGCCGCCCCCCCGCGCTCAGGACGAGCTCCCAGCCGCTGAACGAAGCCAAAACGGTACCTCAGAATTCCTCCAAGCAGCCGCCGCCGCAGCAGCAGCAGCAGCA